TAAAAAGTATTCTCAAATTACCACCCTGAAATAGACTTGAAATGAAAAGTGGGATTTTGAATTTCGATTGAAAATCCTTGAAATAGATTTGAGATGAAACAAGAGAAATCTGATTTGAATTGAAAATAATTACGTTTCATGATAAGGTTACTTAGTTTTATAACGTATTTTGATACATGAGTAATTTATATATATAATAGGTGGAACAGCAGATGGATAAATTAAATTGTTATTAATCTTAGTTACGGCATTAACGCGAAGTGCCATTAACGCTTCTGAAGTCTGTGTACTTTCGAATAAGAAAGTAAATCACGGCCTATTTAAAAGCGACCATGTGGTATAATAAGGTGTCACAAATCCGGAATTGAAAGTCTTAATTAATATGCGCAGTCGTAAGTTCATTACTTTAGAAACATCACTCGATAATAAAGTAAGTTAAAAAAAACAAAACGAAACTCTGTAAAATTCACGCATTCAATACGGTAAGTGTACGGACTTCCACCAGGTACGAACGATTAAATAAATGATAATTGACTTGAATTTTGTTACACCTTTATCTAACTTTTAATACATGAGTATATCACAATATGTCTAACATCAAAATGTAAGGGTGTATTATAGCATCTGAACATTGTAAAGGATAATAGGAGATTTTAATTTTATGTTGCTTTAATTCTCAAACTTACAGTTTTATACTAACCAAAATATGTGAATTCACGGAGTTTTTGGTGTCCTTTTTAAATATTTATTCTTCGAGAGATTTTGTCATTACGATCTATTAAACATAGAGGAAAATTTTATTGGTCTATTTCAACGAGAAACGTACTCCAATCGAACGTTCTAACTGGCGTTATAGACGCTCAGAATGACAACGAAAAAATCTTTAAATTCCATGTATTGTTAAACAAATTGATCTAATTTTAAGCCGTAGTTTTAGCAAAGTGAGTTTCTTAAATTTTGAAAAAATAGTGAAAATGTTGCTGTAAGAAACATTCGGTCAAATAATTACTTTTTTAAAACGGCGTTTAGTTATTAAAATGTCCCCCAGTGGCACAGCGGTATGTCTGCGGACTTACAACGCTAGAATCCGGGTTTCGATACCTGTGGCGGGCATATCATAGATAGCCCTTTGTGTAACTTTGTGCTTAACTACAAACAAACAAGTCCCAAGTTTCTTTTTTTTTATCTATGACACACGAGTAAGTACAAAATATTTGTTAGTTCAGTTGTCTTTTGGATTTTAAAATGGCGTATGCATCATTTTGAAAATTTATCACAATAAACAAAAGAACTGTTTCGGTTGAATTTACTTACTGGTGATAGATATTTTTTAAAGTTTCAACTTTTACAGTAGGTTTTGCGGAATGTTGTTTATTTACCAAGGTACGACGTTTCAATTGTTGCTGCAATAATTATAGTGATAAAGAAAAGATTTTAACTTTAAACAAACAATAGAACAATGAATAAATAGTGTATTTTAGTTAACAATTACTGAGTATCATGAAGTTATCTTCACAAAAACTGTGTTTTGAAGAGAACGTCATCATACCAAGAAAATCACTATCAAATTAATGCCAAAAAATCACCTTCCCTCGTCCATGAACATCCAAAAACTGTGTTTGTTTTTGTTTATATGTTCATGGACGAGGGAAGGTGATTTTTGGTATTAATTCGATAGTGAT